TTCAATGGTGTTTTTCTAAACTTGGTACCAGCATGGAAGGTATGAACAGTGCAGTGGAGACTCTTGGGGAAGCCGTGGATGGCAGCAGAGCTGTCTGTTGGATGGTTTGAGGAAAGAAGCAGAGCAACAGACTTCTTTCACTCCTTGCAGCACTTGGGGAAAAAAGAGGAGGGGCAGACTGATAGGGACTTGTCTCCCACATCAGCAAGTACTTTGGCATCTCATGCGTTTAATAACTCTGAACCAGAAACTCCTATGTGGAAGAAGCAGATGTAGATGCTGTCTGGACAGAATAGCCCAGGTGCTCTCTTAGAGAAGAATGTCTGACAACAAATCTCATGGGAACATTGGGTAGGTTTCTATTTCTGGTGTTCGTATTTCATCCTTTATTCCTTGGTCAAAACCTACAAAGGAAATAGCTAAGAGGAACTGCTCAAAAGCAACACCCATCTCACTGAACTGTACAATCCTCATGGACTATCATTTGGTGCAATCCTCTGTGATCCTCAAAGTTAACTATCTGTCAAGTACGACTTGACATTGCTCATCCCGCTGCTCACCTTGGACCTTTGCTTAGAGTGGAGAACGCCAATCAATGACCTTGACCTGCCACGTCTGGTGTTTCCCCTGCAGCCTAAAGCAACTCCTCGGCTCCCCAGACTCCCCACCCGCCCCCCCAGCCCCCCCCCCTGCCAGTCCGCCTAATCTTACTGGCTTGGCAGGGCTAAGTACTCAGCAGGACCAGTTGCCCCCATCTAGAAGAATATGTTGTATAATCCATTAGAACCAATCTTGATGGTGATTTACATTATCTTTTAAATCGTTAACTGTAGCTCTGTAGAGGTACGGCAAGAAATGATTCCCTTCGATAGGAAAATGCGCAAAGAGTTTGCCCCAGCAGCCGTAAGGACAGAATGAGATCTGCTAACCTATGCGGTCATCTGAGGTACTCTGCCACATTAATACTGTATGCCTACACTCTCAAATTACCATTTGCAGGAATGATACCTTAAAGCGGCGTAACAGATTGGAGAGACACAAATGAGACACTCGGTGGCTATTCTCCCCCCCACCCCCCCGCAACAAGGCAAAGAAAAGCTATTTAAATGAAAACAACCTCTGAAAAATGATACTGTTTTTTTCCCCTGTACCTGGCACACAGTAAAAAAACCCAACAAAACACAACATCTTTTGAGAAAAGCAAAGAACCAATTTCAGTTTTGTTAAAGTATCGTTGCACGGACTTCACACTTCCAGGTCTCTCTCTGCACAGATAATGTAATATTGGCTTAGGGATTAAACCACACCTTAAAAAAATTCTAGGACCCAAACCGTATTTGACTACCCAACAGGGATACGAGTGACACCGACACAAACAAATTATGTCTGTATACCAGATGTTCCTTATTAGCTTGTTCCGGATCCACCACGGGCTTATACCTTGCCAGTTTTTGCTATCGCACAAGGACACTTGTGTTTTAAGACCATTATTCAGTATTTTGATCTTCACTGTACACTGGCAGAGTCATGTATTAAATGTATTCCCTGAAATCTTTTTTCCCCCATCTGGTATGGTTTGCGTGACTGGAGACCACTC